CGCGCCTGGCCCGCGGGTCCCCCCGGTTCCCCTCGGTTGCCAGGAGACGGCAGCGGGGCAGGTTCCGCGGGCGGGGGCGGGCCCGGCGGTGAAGTCACTGCGTCCGCCCGCGCCGCTTTGTTCGGGGAGGCGGGCGAAGGCCGTGGACGCAACGCTGCGCCGCCCGCTGCCGCACCTCGCCCTCCGCCCTGGCCCCGTGGCAGCCCCTCTGCCCCTCGGCGGGGCCGGCCCTCGCTTCGTGTGACGCCGCCGCCGCTCGCTCGTGCGACCCTCACCCCCATCGCCTCCTCCTCACCCCGCAGCGCTGTCCCCCGGCCCCGCAAGCGCCGCCGGAGCGCCGCGCTGGGTGCAGCGCGCTGGACCAGGGTGCGGGCCGGCAAACCGCCCCCGATCACTTAATGTCACCTAAACACACCTCCCCTTCTTTGCCGCCTTCCCCGAGTGATTTCTGCCCGGAGTTTCCACCCCTCCGGGCGCAGTGGGAGTAAAGCAAAGGTTACCGTGCCCGGAAAGTACCGCGACGTGCGGGCCAGGAAAGCCCCGCCGGGCCAAGGTGCGAGCTCCGGCCCGGCTCCGCTCCCCGGCCCTCCTGCCGGTCGTGTCACTGTGCTCCTTTCGAGGGCTCCGCTCCCCGGGCACGCGGTGCGTGGAGGTATTTTCCCGGCAGGTGAAACGCACCTGGGCACCTCTCCCTGTCACACGCCGGTGGCCGGGCCCCCCGTCTGCCTGGGTTACCGGGGAGGTGTGCCGGCCTCGGGGCCCCGGGCCGAGCACAGAGCCCTCCATGGCCAGCCCGGTGTCATCCTTTCCTTTCTGATCCTAATGACAGAACAGATGTCAGTGCAGGCAGGATCCCAAAATAGCATGTCGATGCACCACCCAAGTCTGCCTGTGCACGGTACAACGTTAATAAATCCTGCAGATGCAAGCAGTGTAAATAGTGTGCTGTTTCACTGTCCTTATGAAAGTCTGTGAAAGCCTCTTTATACCCTGTGCTAAGCCTCATGGATTTATGGATTATTTATCATCTGCATGTCAAAGATCAGAAACTGAACCTACACTGGGTTTGTTCAAGGGTGCTAAGGAGGAGTTGGCAATGGAATAGTCCTATATTTGCACTCTTGGGAGTTTTTAAACACTGTATCATCTCCTTTGCTTCACCTTGGAAAAATCCCGTTTCAGACATCTGACTGTCATTCCTCGAGTGGCAACAGCCCAGATGGGGATAAGGGGATGTGAGAAAGTCACATGCAGTGATGGTCACATAAAAATGTAGCATCTACAGGACTTCAATTATTGTGGCATTCCTGACCTAAAAGCTCTATGATTT